ACCACCTTTTCGAAGGAGTTTGTATGTTGCTTCAGTAGGGTGTTTGTGGTTAGTTTCCTATTTTGATCGAGCCGTGTCCAGCTCCCCTCAGAAGCTCATCAGAGACGCTAAGCATTGTGAATCGAGAAATATGAGGAATTTATGTATAATCCTCAAACATACACAATGCTATAGTGAATTGATTGACAGGTGTATATTCATCACAAATGTTATAGTGAACCAGTTTACAGTTGTATAGTCCTCACACATACGTAATGCTACAGTTAACCTATTTTAGGTGTAATTATTGATGAGATTATATGCGCTCTTTAATTGACGGTTTAAATTATCATCTATATTTTTTGATTTTGAAAGAATTTGTAATGCATACGGACGTGTGAAAATGCTTTAATGCAATGCTCTGAGGAAAACTGACACATTTTGAAGGAATTTAAATCAATCAGGAACGGTATCTCTAATATGCGACATGTCATATACCTTACACGAAAATAGTGAATAAGTGAATGAATAACTATAGAGCGATATTCTCACGGGAGAGTCTATATATACACACACGCACCACGCTGGAAAAGACGAATCTACATATATATTGGCCATAAAACAAAAAAGCCATCCTGGACCATAAGCTTAACTCTCTGGCGTCGAAGTTTTGGATAATTCGGAGAGGCTTGGCGGGAGCTGTCAGCATAGCCCGGGGCTTAGGCTCTTGTCGGAAGTTTTGTTTTTTTCTTTATTGCGTTCGTTAATTTTCGTTTCGCTCGACGAGGTTTTCTGTTCTCCGGTGCGGATGTAGGGCTCCCTCTCTCTCTCTCTCTCTCTCTCTCTCTCTCTCTCTCTCTCTCTCTCTCTCTCTCTCTCTCTCTCTCTCTCTCTCTCTCTTCTCTCTCTCTCTCTCTCTCTCTCTCTTCTCTCTCTCTCTCTCTCTCTCTCTCTCTCCTCTCTCTCTCTCTTCTCTCTCTCTCTCTCTCTCTCTCTCTCTCTCTCTCTCTCTCTCTCTCTTCTCTTCTCCCTCTCTCTCTCCTCCCTCTCCTCCCCTCCCTCTCCTCCCTCCCTCTCCCTCTCTCCCTCCCCTCCCTCTCCTCTCTCCTCCTCCCTCCCTCCTCTCTCCTCCCTCCCTCCCTCCCTCTCTCCCTCTCCTCTCTCTCTCTCTCTCTCCTCTCCCCTCTTCTCCTCTCCCTCTCCTCCCTCCCTCCCTCCCTCCCTCTCTCCCCTTCTCCCTCTCTCTCTCCCCTCTCTCTTTCTCTTTCTCTTTTCTCTTTCTCTTTCTCTTTCTCTCTTTCTCTCTCCTCTCTCTCTCTCTCTCTTCTCTCTCTCTCTCTCTCCCTCTCTCTCTCTCTCTCTCTCTCTCTCTCTCTCTCTCTCTCTCTCTCTCCCTCTCCTCTCTCCCTCTCTCTCTCTCTCCCTCTTCTCTCTCTCCCTCTCTCTCTCCCTCTCTCTTCTCTCTCTCCTCTCTCACACACTAAATAAGCATTAGAACTTTGTGATACTAATGTTTTCTTCGGACTTTTTTGCTTATGTATTATTTTGATTTAGCGTACCGATCATTAAATTTCCAGTTTTTCTTCTTGTAATCTGTCAAATTAACGAATTTATTTCAAATCTTCCCTTACTGCATTTTTTTGGTTGATCAAAAGTGAAGTAAAAAGTGCAACAGTTATTTAATCAAACACGATCCACAGGCGGAAGATAGAGAAGTTTACAAGTTAGTTTGTTTCTATACCCGGATGACACGAATAATTTTGTTTGATATTGATATCACTTACAGGTGACATACTCACTTTTGCTTGTTTGTGGCGGTGTGTTTATGTGCAGTAATAGGAGTCGAATGTTCAGATTCAGATGTTAATTGATGATGTTGATGGTATTAGAGATTTTGATGGACATCTGTGGATTTGCTGTTGTTTGTCACTTCTTTTCTCTGCTGCTGTCACTCTCCCCTTATTTAGATATCAACAATAACCCGTTATTTTCTTTATTCGCTTCCCCTTCGCGGTTTTATCATTCGCTCTCATATTCCCTTCCATTCATCCCCAGTCCGTGCAAGTTTTTAGTTTCATTCTTCTATTTTGTTTTTTTCTTATTCTTCCTTTCATTACCGTGCATTGTCTCCCCTGGTCTCCACTCCTCTTTTCAATGTGTCTCTTCTATCGTACTCGCCCTTTGTCCTTTCTCCCTGACCTTTCCTTTTTGCCGTGTCCTTTTCTTTTACGTCTTCTCCGCCATTCTTTCTACTTCTTGTCTTTCTCCTTTTCCTATTTATCTTCTTTGCCATTCGTTCTTATTCTCTGTATGTTTTTCTTTGTTTTTCCTCGCCATTTTCTCCATTCTATCGAGTCTTTCTTCTTCTCTCGATCTGTTCTGCCTTGACAACGAAGCTTCAATTACTTTTAATTGTTTCATCCTTCTCCAGTCTCGCCTTCCGTAGCGTGTGCTCTGCCAGTTATCCTGTATTCGCCTCCTCGTACTGAACAAGAACACATGTTTTATAAATGACGATGGC